GACTGTTCCATTAAAAAGAGAACAGATGGTCACTCTGCCTCATAATCATCTCATACTGGGGACAGTTCCTTCACCAACATTTCGTTTCATTAGGTGAGTAGGAGAAAGCATAGAATGCCAAAGTAACATCCATCCCTCCCTCTTTCAGAGGGAGCCCCATGGTTAATATTGGGCTGTACAGTGCCAGGTTCAGCCCCATGGTCAATACTGGGCTCCTCCCCATGGTCGGTACCAGGAATGGGCTCCAGGCTATCATGGTGCTATATGGGAGGGTCTTGGTTCACCGAGGCCATGGAATATGAATGCCTCGAGCCAGAGCCTTGTCCCAGTGGGAACATCCATGGGCTCCAGAATGACCATGGATGCAGATCCCCATAGTGCCACTGGCCAAGCGCCTGCCCTGGGTGCCATGGCAGTAGCCATTCCAGTAGGGCTGGGCAGGTGTTGATAGCAATGCTGACAATCTCAGTAGCTGAATTCTGCCTCTGAAGAGGGGGTGGAAGAGTAATGGAGCAATCACTGCAATGCCGAGACACCCAGTGCTATGCACTATTGGCTAGTGCAATGGCCATTAGCTAGAACGGATAGAAATGGCGTCCTAGCTTCTATCAGAGGCTGACAATGGGTGACGGGAGAGGGACTGCTTGAAGACTCCCTGTTCTGTTCACTCCCTCTGGGACATCTGGCATTGGCACTATTGGAAGACAGGATACTGGGCTGGCTAGACCTTTGGTCTGACCCAATATGACTGTTCTCATGTTCTTATGCAGAAGCTCGAGGCAGGATGCCCCAGGGAGGGGTTCCCCTAGAAACCAGTCTGTGCTGGTTTGATTGTAAAGGCCAGCGTTCTGTAGATGACACCTCCTGATCCCCTAGAGATCCCAGGATCAGAAACATTATTTAGTCTCTAGCATCTGCATTAGCTTCTGGCATGGACATCACCATGGATCATTCCATGTGCTGTCTAGCAGAGGACTGTATTTGTTTATGTCAAATTGATAAACTAGCTTGTATCAAGCCTCCTGAAAAAAATCCAGTTTGGCCATATCTTTCCTGAAATGTGGTGTCCAGAACTGGGCGCAATACTCCAGCTGAGGCCTAATCAATGTAGAATAGAGCAGAAGAATTACTTGCTTACAAGACTCCTGTTAATACATCATAGAATGATGTGTTTTTTTTTTTAAACTGTCACACTGTTGACTCTCATTTAGTTCATGGTCCACTATGACCCCTAGATCCCTTTCTGTATTACTCCTTCCTAGGCAGTATGTGTACAACTGATTTATCAAAGCTAAATATTCACTTACCTATTAAGGTAGTAATGGCTAGATGTCAGTTTATAGAAGTGAAGTCAAGCAGTGCACATAGATTCTTTCTTAAGAATATGAAACTCCAGTAGAAAGACCATTGCAAATATTTTAAGCTAAAATCTAAAGAAACTTATCTGATTGTGTGACATTCTAAGTCTTAGCACTGAGGAGAACCATATTTTCTTAACATCACGTTAATTGGATGAGTCAGTTAACATGAGGTGCCCGGAGAGAACCTCTTGGGATAGGATTAGTTAAGATTACCCAGTGAAGTGTGTTAAATCTTAAATCTTTTGTTGCTGATGGTATAACATACTGTACATAATCATTTCTGGCTTTTCCCAAACAATGTTGAACACACAATCTGTGCAATAAAATGAAAGAAGATGGCTCCATGTCTGAATAAATAGCAGTTCTTGAACTTCTCCAAACATAAAAGTACTGCATGTGTTATGGATATCCAGTCTGGGAAGTTGGACCTGGGGAGAACTCCATGGTTGAAGTATTTTTTTTCTTCAGCATCTTTACTGGCTGCCAGGCATAAATTATATTTAATTACAAAAGCTAAGAATGTCTTTTATGTCACTTTGCTTAAGTTGTGGAATGTCAAAGACTACCAGGTATGATACAATTTTGTTAACTCATTTTATGGCCAACAATACTCAGGTTTTCCTGAAAAGCAATCCACTAGAGCTTTCAAAAATACTTTGTTCCTGCTCAAGTTTTATGAAATGTTTTGTTACCTACTAATTTGTTAATTTTTTAATATTAAAATTTGCATTAACAGTTCTTCACTCCAGTGTTTTGCCTATCTGTATTTTAGTATTGTCAGTGAAATAAATAGCTGCTGGTTTGGGGTATATTATTTTTAATTACCTATATTAGTGATTTTATTTTTCAATTAAAATATTGTTCTGACATTGTATTAATTCTCAGTGTGCTAGAGATATGCCTGGGTGTTAAATGTTTTCCAAGTCACTAGGGTGTGAGCATGTAATAAACTGTACTAGCTGATCTCTGCAATTTCCATGCTTAAATTTCCTTCCTGTCCAGTTTAGGAAAAATGATCTTCTATGGCACTGTGTACTTATTTCCTCATATCTAGTTTTGATGTTAAATTAGGTCAGTGTCCTGTCCAATAACAACTTTAACTCAGAGGCCAAAGAGTTTTCAATTTAGTCAGGAAAGGCAAGATGTTGCAGTTATGCAGAATAATTAATAACAGATTGCATCATTTGAAGAGTTGCCACTGGTTGACTTAGTGGTGGAAAGGAACACTAATAATGGAAAATATTTTAATTGCATTTAAAGTGTTATGTTGAGAATAAGTAGTTGTTAGATTCTGAAAGATTGTTTTGGGGGATGAAAGCTAATCTGGTATTGAGTAGCTGTATTTACTTTGTAAATCAAGTTAAAGAACAATTTTTAGAAGCTATGCCAAAATTTTAGTGAGTGGTTTTGAATAAGATTTCACATTTTTTTTCAAGGCATGCAGTTCTATTATTGTAATTTATTACAGTATATCTTTTAAAATGTGTGTATAAATCTCTATGCAGAAGAAGTTTGTCCAGAAATCAATAAAGTAAAACAATGCCATTTGTAGAAATAATTTTTTGCAAGTTTGCTTAGTAATTTTTGTTTATTGATTATAAGCAGTACAGAAAATAGCTGTATCTATTCACATGCTTGGCTCAGGTTAGGGAAACATCATCCAACTGTCTGATTGCGTCTTCTGAGTAAAACAACATCCGTTGAAATACATACTGTTGTTGTCGTTGTCATTGTCTTCTCAGTATGTCCAGTAGTTTGTTCACTTATGTACAGTGCCATTTAGTTTCCATAACGAGCAGCCCCTGTGGCACCTTAGGGCATGTCCATTTTAGGAAATTATTTTGAACTAAATAACTATTTTGAAATAGAGTCTCCACACTACAGAGAAGCCTCAAAATTAGTCCGAGGCAGACTCTCTTAATGTGGACATGCTACCTTGACTTAGAGCCTCAGGCAACACTAGGGAATAATTATTTTGAATGATTCTGGGAAGTAGTTATTTCAAAACAGCAGCAGTGGAGCATCCATACTATTGCTTCTTTCGAAACAAGTGTTATTCCTTCTGGAACACAGGAGTTGTTGTTTTGAAATAACTAGCCTCTTATTTCAAAATAATGGGCTTGGTAGTGTGGATGCTCAGCTTCTTATTTTGAAATAACTCCCTAGTGTAGATCAGGGCTTAGAGACTAACAAAAATATATGTAGTATTATGAGCTTTCGTGGGCAAAACCCACTTCTTCAGATGAGCTTGAGTGAAGAAAAAAAGGGTGACCCTCAGAATATATAACAGAAAAAGAAGGGAGAGGATAAGGGGGGTGGGGAGAAAAGGAGGGGAAAAAAGTACTTGTCAATTGTAGCACTGGTGCTAATGAGGCTAATTGAGTGGGATGGAAGTGTCCCATACTTAGCTTTTGATGTTAATGAAGTGTTAAATGTAAGAGAAGCTGGTTTTATAATGGGGCCATCCAGTTCATATCTTTGTTCAATCCAAGGGAAACAGTGTCAAATTTGCATATGAAGGTCAAGTCCATACTCTGTATTTGGCTTGTGAAATTTCTTTGTAGAAGAATAGCTATTTTTAAATCCATTGAGTGCCCAGGAGGTTTGAAATGTTGCCTTTTATATGTTTTTGTGTTTCACAGGGGTAGCCGTGTTAGTCTGTAACATTGCTGGCACTTGATGGCACGTATCACATTAGAGGATGTGCAGTGGTATGAGCCTCTGATGTTAGGTACCTCTATAACTCTTAAATCATGTACAGTAGCAATATTGATGTGAATTTAAGTTTGTGTCAGGATATTTAAAAAAAATCCTAATTTGGTGTTGAACAAATCCACTTCTCTTCACTGAAGATTGTTTGGGAAATGTAACAATCTTAGACTGCTCAGCTTTAAAGAGGGACTTATTTGATTTGTTTGTTCATTTGTGCTACAATAGTGGCAGGAGGCATAAATGAAATGTGAAGTTAAAGAAAAACACTCTGCCATATCCTTCTAAGAGAAATCAGATGTTTCCGAGGAAAACTTTATTTTTGTTTGTTTTATGGTGTGGTTTACTTGCAGACAAAAAACAAGAATAGGGTTGTGCATATGAGAGACACAGAGAGGGTTGTTGAATGGACTGAATCCTGATATCCTTTGTTTTTTCCTCAATTATTCTATGGTAAAATCCCCTTTTGACTTCAATGAAAACTGCCCTGGGTAAGACTCGAAGGTTTGGTCCTACAAATTTCAAAATTCTAGTAGTTGCTTAGACTACATGGTAGTGTTTTACAGGTTTTGGTTTTGTTTATCTGCCAGAACCTGACACAGTTTCTCCCAGTAATTGGCTGAGACATAACCCAATGCCCAGATTTTGGTTTTAGATTTTGAGAGAGGATTTTTCTCTCCTGACTCTGTAGAACATCCATTACCAGCACCAGCTTATGTAATGAAATAGTAGTAAACTTAAGTCTTGTTTTGTGAAAAGGAAACATTGTTCCAAACAACTGTAAAGAATTTTCAGTGTGTATTATAATGAACACTGATTTCTAGTATTCAGAGAAATTTCCCATGCATAAATGTCCTCACAACTCAGACTCTTAGAGAGACAACTATATTTAGGCTGAACATTACCTTTTTTCCCCCACAAATTGTGCAGAATGGAAGCTTCCTGTCTGGAACTGGCCTTGGAAGGCGAGCGGCTTTGTAAAGCAGGAGATTGTCGAGCTGGCGTATCTTTCTTTGAAGCTGCAGTTCAGGTTGGAACAGAAGATCTCAAAACTCTAAGTGCTATTTACAGTCAGCTAGGCAATGCTTATTTCTACCTGCATGAATATGCAAAAGCCCTGGAATACCATCACCATGATTTAACCCTTGCAAGGTAATTTTGCATTCTTTTAGGCATATCCTCAGCCTTGGTCATATTCTTGTGAAGATCAGCAATGCTTTGTTCAGTGTAACATTCATCATTCATGCCTGTTAAGAGTGCTAGTGATGGGAGATTGGATGGTGTTTTGACAAATAATTTGTCTATCATTTTACTGGAGGAGAGCAAGGGTTACCAGATTTGTGGATATGTAGATGGATTCCTCTTTAAAACTCATCTATTCTTCATACTTTTCTGTTTCTAAATCTAAGCTCTCTGGCTCTCCAAAAATTAAGCTGCCATTGTTTTACTATACATAACTGACTAGTCTACTTCTCTTTAAAACTAGTAATGTGTTGTTGATGAAAATGTGCAAAATATGTGCAAAAATTATTTAGGCTTTTCATTACATGTGTTTGGTTCTTTTTTTTTTTTCCCCAAGCCCTTCTAGTTTTGACACTTCCATGTTTAAAATTTTGAGTTTTTTAACAGTGTGATCTGAAGAAGCTGTTCCCATACAACAAAGAGGGGAAAATTTATACCTCAAGAGCAGGAGTTCTAGATAATTATGTTTAGATGTTGCACTGGAGATTTTTCCTCCCTCGAGAAAACAAATTGTTCTAATAGAGCAGGGCTGAGCAAGAGGCTGTCAGTGGGCCACATCTGGCTCGCTAGCACTTTCACCCAGCCTATGGCAGCTCCCGGCTCTGCCACTAGTGGGTTGACTTATTGCCGTCAAGGAGGCACAAGCCCTTTCAGCTCCTGCTATTTAAAGGGCTCACGTCTCCCTGGCGGCTCCCAGGCAATGCATTAGCGACGGGGCCGGGGAGGCATGAGCCCTTTCAATTGCTTCCATTCAAAGCACTTGTGCCTGCTGAGCGGCTGCTACTGCATTGCCTGGCAACCGCCTGGAAGACACAAACCCTTTAAATTGAAACAACTGAAAGGGCTTGCAGCTCCTGGCCCCACTGCTAATGCATCGCCTCACAGCCGCCTCAAGTTGTGAGCCGGAAACCCTTTAAATAGCAGCAATTGAAAAGGCTTCTGGCTTGCAGCTGCCAGGCAATGGGTTAGCAATGGGGCCAGGAGCTGCAAGCCCTTCAGTGTGAATTCCAAGCCTCCAACCCAGACAACTCTAGGAGGAGCCTACCCTCCAGCATCGCCCCGTCTACTTGAGGTCCCATCCTTTCCCTTGACTGGAGCTCAGGGGGACGGGAACCCCAGGCCAAGCAAAGCTGGGGGCAGGCTAGCTTCCAACCCCGCTTCTGCCTGAGGTTCTGCCCCTTCTGGAGTGGCCCACAACCTCTTCTGAAATTTGGAAACTGGCCCCCCTTCAAAAATTATTGTCCATCCCTGTAATAGAGCTTAATTTAGGTTCACAGGGAGGCATGAACACAGTGCTATTGCACCTAACAATTCATTGCCAACTTTGTATAGTAAAGGTTTTAAGGGCTGAGACACTAATTTGTATTGATTTCATCCCTATCCCTGTTTTCCCTCCCCACCCCCAGACAAATTATAACAGACAACAGTTGTAGATTCAAACCAGAGATTTAACATTTCCCAAAGGGTGGGGGAGCTTCTTTCATTAAGACTTTTTTCCTTCTTTGGAGTACTATATCAAGTACTTCCTAATTAGTTTCCAGGGTGTTAGTTTTTTTAGTGTAATATACCAATAAGTAGGAAGTGCCATATTCAGAAACATATTGTGGTTCTAACATAATTAAAATGAATGTCCCCCATGCACTTTCTGTTAAGTCGAAGTCTGTAATTGAACTCTGTGTATGTACATATAATATATTTATAAAATTAAAATCTTACTATACTTTAAAAAGGTTTTTCTTGCAGGACGACAGAGTGACGTCATGCGTCACTCTGCATCCCGCAGCGTCTCCTGCCGCCCTCAGCCGCATGGTCTCCCCTTCCTCATGCTCCGTGAGAGCTGCAAGCCATGTGGTCTCTCATTCTCTAACCTTTGGGAGTGTGAGAGCTGTGATACCTCTTGGGAGCTGGGGTTGGATGCAGGAGCCGCACAGCCTTGTGGGGGCTCGGGTGGGGGGCTCACAGGACATGTGCGATGTCGCCAGTGCTCTGGGGGCAGGGGGCACGCAGGAGCTGCACGACCTTGCCTCTCGCTTGCACGGGGCCAGAGCCATGTGGCCTCTTCCCTCACTGCCAGAGTGAGCCAGCCTCAGCCCAGTCCCAACCCCCTGGCAGCCAGAGGGGAAAGATCCAGGCCAGCCTCAGTCCGCCCCTCCCCCCGGTGGCCTGAGTCGGGAGAGCCGGGGCAGGCCAGGGCTTCTACGCCTCGACTTGGCCCTCCCCAGCGACTGGGGAGAGCCGGGGCTGCTTACCCCTAAAAAAGAGGGTTGTTGATCATAGCGAGCAGGGGGTACTGCCCCCTAGTAAACATACAACCTCATAAATTGTAAATAAAACATGCACTTCATACTATTGTAGATTTTTCTTATAAAAAGAAATGCCTTTCGTGTAATTCTGTTTACAGTGCATTGAACATACATGTATTGCAAATATGCAGGATTTACTGTTTATGTTATTTTAATTTCAGAACCATTGGAGACCACGTAGGTGAAGCTAAAGCTAGTGGCAATTTGGGAAATACCTTAAAGGTGCTTGGGAATTTTGATGATGCTATTGTTTGTTGTCAAAGGCACCTAGATATTTCCAGAGAGCTTAATGACAAGGTAAGAGGAGTGAACATTCAGTTACTGTCAAGCTGGTGGTAATATTTTAGAACAACTAGAAGATTTAGCTGGTGTTGCCCAGATCTGGGAGTGAGGGGGCTCACTCGCTGACTTCCCCTACCCTTCTCAAGGGCCAGCCCGCAGCAGTGAGGGCTGCACAGGCTGCCTGCCAACTTCTCCTTGGGTTGTGGGTTGAGGCCATGCAGGCCACCCAGTGGCTTCTCCCTGGGGGCAGGCTGGAGTGGTGGGGGCTGTGCTACTGGCCAGTAGCCGCTCCCTGAGGCAGGGTCACTTGCTTGTTCCACTATGATCATTCGTGAATATAACTGTCCCTGCTCTCTCATCCCCCCTTTCCTTTTGATGTGAAACATTCCATACACATCACATTGCGCTGTCACAACCAAACCTGGCCTTGCTTTAAGTTATGATAAGAGGAACCTGCATATCAAATTGAGTGGCCCTAGATGTTACCATTGAGGCAGCATTCTTGAACAAACACTCACAAATGGGCGGACATACTCTCTAAAATATATAATAGATGATTATAGAAATACTAAAATATACTGATGAGCCAGTGGTCTCAAGTAGCTTGTCTCACAACCATTTAAATTATGAAGATAGTTGCAAGTTTGATTACTCCTACTTAGGAAACATTACAAGTAGAAGCACAGGTACAATGCTTTGTTGGGATGCGTTGGGGGTGTAACTCTCCAAAATGATCATACTTTCCCATTAATAGATGAGAAGCTTGGTTTCTCTGTCTGATGGTTTTAATCATTGATACTGTGCAGAGTTGCACAGGATTTCTAAATCTTTCCAACATATTGATACTGTGTTCTAGGTTGGAGAAGCAAGAGCACTTTATAATCTTGGAAATGTGTATCACTCCAAAGGAAAAAATGTAGCCTGTGCTGGGACTCACGATCCAGGGGAGCTTCCAGATGAAGTGAAGGCTGCATTACAAAAAGCTGCCGATTATTATGAGTAAGTAATGATATCAAAATGCTGTGGCTGGAAAGAAAAAAATCATTGAGACCTTCAGCGTTGTGAACTAAAGTATAGGATAGCATCAGTTAGTGGTACCAGCAGCAACATGTTGGCATTTGGGATAAGTTGGTAAAACATGAAAGGAGTAAATAATCATACCTGGAGTTTTGTGGGACGTGGCAGCTTTGGTTTCATTTTTGAGATATGCTTCTCGGTAATGCCACATAAGGGCTGTGTATCTCTACCTGTTGTAAGTCGCTGCACCATATTGGGGCCCTCCTATCTGTTCAGGAACCAAACTGAGAGATGAAAAAGTAGGATATGTGCATCAGCAAGTCTGAGTTGATATTTGGCCTTTTTATTTAAGTAACCATTTCCCATTTGATGGAAATGCCACAACTGTCTTCCTGCCACAGGAGAATGGATGTACATTTGAGAGTGGCTAGCAGTTTCTGAGTAAATGATCTTCCCCTTTTCCAAGCACTGAACACACCAGAGTCAGATATCTGCTGGTATCAGGCTGCATAATGCCTATTGCTATTGTCAAGGCCACTAAGTCAACTAGTAAAGGGAAAACAAGCTCTTCACTTGTAGTAATAGGAAAATCGATGATTATATGGCTCATAATTTCTTCTGAACAACCTATTAGGTATCTCTCTTTTTCTCCCCACCCTCGTCAGGGAAAACTTGACAATAGTGACAGAGCTGGGTGATAGAGCAGCCCAGGGACGCGCATATGGAAATCTGGGGAATACACATTACCTTCTGGGCAACTTCAGGAGTGCGGTTATAGCCCATGAACAGGTACAAAGACTGTATTTTTAGAAAATGTTTACTTTAGCAGAACACTTTTCAGCTTCTGATTGATCCTTTACATAAGTATATTGTGTGTCTCTCTAGGCTTTTACATACTAACGTACCATTCTTCATCTCTCTATATATAAAATACTTTTCCGGCTGGACAATAGAGTGACATCAGCACGTCACTCCTGTCACTTTGCTCCCAACTCTAAGCCCAGAATGACCTCTTGCCATGCTACCAGCCTTACTGGCTGCAGCCCCTCCGCACACCATCCCAAACCCCCTCACTCACATACCCCCTGCCAACAACCTGCAACCTCTAGCCCCCCTTCACTTAGACCCCTGCTAAGGTTGTCTTTGAGGAATCCCAAGCTCAGCCCATCTCCCAAGTCCCACTCCCTCCCACCCAGCCACGCGCCTTCAAGGCAGGAGAGGAGGCACTTGGTAACACTGACTTGAGCAGCCCAGGTTCCCTTTGCCTGGTACCCCGGGGCACTATGACTCGCTCCAGGGCAATGCCACTGTTGTTCTTGGTGCTCATGGGCTATTGGACCAGCAGGCTCGAGCAGTGCCAGGTGAAAAGTGAGGCATCCTGCATTGTCAGCTGCCTGTCGCATTCTGAGCCCAGTACCAAGCCGCCCCAGTGCAACCCACTGTGGTAGCCCTGCATCTGGTGCCCCAGCAGTTCTGAGTGGGGGTGGGGTAGCTGGGTTGGAGTGCCTGCGTCTGCATTGTGGCACCCGGAGACCCCTTTCACTCTATGGTCCCCGGCCCTCTTTCCATCCTCCATGTCCTTAGCCCCTGCTTTGCCCCCTCACAGACTGTTGTCCCCCCTCTCAACGTGACAACTTGCCTGGCACAGGGCGAGGTGCCCCATGGTCCCTGCCACCCCAACCTCTGCTGCACCCCAAATGGCCATACCCTGAGTCCAGTGCCAAGCTGACCTGGTGCAACCTGCTGCCACAGCCTAGCAGCCCCTGAGGCATCATGGGTGGCCCAAAAGCTTTTAGAGCAGCTGCCAACCTGCTGGTGCTATTTCCTTGCTGTTTAGGTTGCCTGTTTGTGTGAGGAGGCAGGGTGTGTGTAGGGAGGGTGGAAGGGGATAGGGTGTATAAGGATGAATGAGTGGGATGGTGGGGATATGGGGATGGGCAGTATGGGGGTGAGAAGGGGGAGGGGTTAGGGATGGGAGGAGGAGGATGATGGGCAGTGTGGAAAGGCTTTAGGAAGGATGGTGAGTGCAGGAATGGAGGCAGGGGGGTGGGAGTTTAGGAATGGAGGATGGATGGAAGGGGGGGTGAGCTGTGGTCCATGGAGATCTGGGCCCCAGCTCTTCTCCCCTCCCTGTAGGGCTCACTGGGGAATCGGGAGAAGAGCCGGGGCTGGTGCGTCCTGGGCCAGGGCTCAGGGTGGCAAAAGAGATGGGGCTGTGGGGACCGGGAGCAGGGGAGATCTGGGGCTGGCATGGCCGGGGCGGGGAGGAAGAACTAGGGCAGGCACAGCCTTGGCCTGGCCCACCCTGGTGGCCAGGCAGAGAGCTGGCATTGGCTACCCCCAGAGAGAGGGGTGCTGGTGAGCATAGTGAGCAGCAGGTGCCATCCCCTAGTTGTTAATAGTACTGAAGCAAGCTCTTATACAGTCTTTCAAGAGATGTTAGCTTGAAGAACAATCAGATGTTTATACGAAGCTGTGAAGCCCTGTAAATGTGCTCTTGCAGATAAATTTGTGAAGTGCAGTACATTAGTAAGATTTTGTATTTTTCAGCGTCTCCTAATTGCAAAAGAATTTGGTGATAGAGCTGCTGAAAGAAGAGCATACAGCAATCTTGGAAATGCGTACATATTCCTGAGTGAATTTGAAACAGCTTCTGAATACTACAAGTTAGTTAATTTATTTCTTATATATGAACATATTACCAGTCCTTTTTACATAATTAAATAGGCAAGTTTTTAGCTCTGTTAGTAGTAATAATGCTTAGCACTTGATATATTGTTTTATAACATCCTTACAACGCAATTGGGAGCCAATTAATTATGAACATATAATAGAATTTCTAATTTTCTAGTCATTTGACCGTTCAGCTCTCCCTAAAGTCTGGATGTTAATATATTATGTCTAGCTTTTCTAGTAAGAGGGAATTTTTATAGGGGCATTTTCAAGTGGTGTGGGGCGTCAGCAGGCAGGGAGCCCAGCCTGCCTTGGGGTGCTGCTGGGCTGTTGGCTGGGAGATGCTTAGGTAAGTGCCTCCCAGCCAAAGCTAGCCTCTGGCACCCCAGCCCTTCTTGCACCCCAGTTCCCTCTCCCAGATCACCATCCAAATCCTCTGCACCCCCTTGCCCCAGGTCACAACTCCCTCCTAGACCCTGTATCCTCTCCTACACCCCTCCCCCAGGCCGGAATCCTCTCCTGCACCCATACTCCCTCCCTGACTCTACCCCCCCCAATCCTCTGAACCAGGTCACAGCAGCCTCCTTCAGACAAACTCCCTCTCAGACCTCACACTGTCTCCTGCACCCCAGTCCTTTACCCCATGCACCCTTCTGCACCATGCTAGACCCTGCAAGGCCATTTCTCAGGCCAGTCAAAGACCAAGGACTGATAGCTTTCCCTTGCTTAAATAGACTCTTCTCCAGGTTGTGAATGTTTTGTTTTGCATCCCTCCCCTTCCCAGAAATTTACCATTTTCAGGATGGGTCCCAGTACTAGGTGGTGTGATCACATCTCTCTCCAGACTGACTACCTTCTGGATTTAAAGGAGAAACAAAGCTTTTTACAAGCCAAGTTGTTTACTAAGTCATTGGGCTTCCCAGGCACTGGAAATGGCTCTCATTAGCACATTTACAATGATATTCACATTTTATATTTCCAACTTGACATACAAGAATGATTCATGCACCAAAATTTTGTGTGTGTGTGTGAGAGAGCGAGAGCATCAGATCCAGCAGGCTGTAATATTAAAACTGATAGGTTTACATGAGTGATTTTGTCTAAAGAATATTCAAATTATGCATATTTACATTCATAAGCCAGTTTTCATAAAGCATGAGGTGAGGATCATCACAAGGTACGTGGGCTATATACGTGTTCAGATTTCAGCTGTGAAGCCCAGAACTGGGCATGTTTTCAACTGAGCTGAACATTGGTCAGACAGTTAACTGAGTCAGCCATTAAGTCAATCCCTGTTGAGCATTAGGGACTTACTTCCATATCGAGGCAGCATCTTAACACTACCTACTCCTATTGATTAAGCATTTGCTGTGCTGTTATCTTCAAAAGTTGGCACCAGACTTTGTATCAACTGCACTCTGGATTTGTTTTATATAGTGACAAAAATCAGCATAAATAATGCAATAGTGAAGCAGCTAAAATTAGAATAGGCAGGTTAAAGGCCCATCCTTCTCTCATTGAAATCAATGGGATTTTTTTTTTCCATTCTAAGGTTAGAGGTAAATGGGAAGGGAAATTTTAATTCTCTTGTGGAATGATTATTAGCAGCTAATTTGCAAATTAAAGATTTGATTTTACCATTTTAATCATGCAATTGTATTGATTTCAGTTGGGTTGCACAGGTATCAATTAAGAACATAATTTTTATTGTAGTGATTTTGTGATCCTTTTTTTTTTTTTTTAGGAAGACACTACAACTGGCTCGACAGCTTAAAGACAGAGCTGTGGAAGCACAGGCTTGTTACAGTCTTGGAAATACATACACTTTGCTCCAAGACTATGAGAAAGCAATTGACTTTCATCTAAGGCACCTTACCATTGCTCAGGAACTGAATGATAGGTGAGTTCTTTGGAGCCAATATTTATATTTAACTTAAAGGGATAATAGCATTGGACCTTGGTCTTCTGTAATTGTTCTATATATGGAACTTGAATTGAAGTCAATATGAGTTCCCAGCATGGATTGGCTATAGGATTACATCTTTAATAGGAAAAAGTGGTAATCTTAAAGCTATCACATTAATGAATCCTGAGATGAAATGTAGACTTGGTAAAGTTGTATTTGAGATGAATAGTAACCTGTAACTTATTAATTCACTGATACTGCTAGACTGGCTTTGTCCTGCGTCAGTTTTTTGTTAAGATTGGTTAATTGTTAAGATTAAAAGCTGTTGCATCTTTAATTTGAAATTAATAATTACTATAATTTTGAAGCCTTCTCATACCCACAGATACACTTTTTTGGTGCCTCCACTGGGGAGGAATTAAGTGGAAAGAACAGGACAAGTCTATTAAAATGTTTTAAAATAGTTTTTAAATGTAGATAATGTTAAGTCCTGTATTTCAATATTCAGGGTAACTAAAATTGCTTAATTATTGAATATTATGCTTATTGATTTATAGAGAAAGGCAATTTATAGAGAAAGAATGGATAAGGGAATGAACAAATGTTTATGAACTGGTTTACAAAATGTGATCCCTATGCATTTGTAAACTCTTAGGGCATGTCTTCACTACGAGAGTTAGATCTAATATGGTCTATTTCCTACCACCCGATTTATGTGAAGTTGAAAGTCCATGTCCTCACTGTGGGGAAGAATCGAATGTAGTCCAAAGTAGTGAATCCCCAATAGGGACACTACTGTTGTCTCAGAGAACAAGGCTTTGTACTCTGGGCTATGCTCATGGTGTCTGCTTGGTCCAAAACTCTGCAGCAGGTTACCAGGGGTTCATGTCGCCAGTGTCCCAGAATGCACTTGCTCCACCCTTTGCATGATATCACCAGGAGGCAGTCCGCTCATGCCTTTTTGTGCCCTGGTTGCCCATTTGGAGGCCATAGCTGTGCGAGGATGGAGCCCGGTGTGCAGGAAAGCATTGCCATGCTCGTGTGTTGTGGGGTGCTTTGACACTGTGCTTGGAGAGTGCATGCATGTTGCTCCACCAGGTAGAGGATGAGGATGAAGCTCAGTATGGCATGGTAGCACTCCTCAGGGAAGGCCTGGCACTTATGCCAGTATTCCCAAATGGTGCTGCGCAAAGTGAAAGTAAGGGTTCCGTGAGAACCTGATCACTCCTTCCTCATCTTAAAGAGACAGAGAGGAGCCGCAAAGATGCCGGCTCCTTCTCTAGTTTCCCACTGGCTTTCAAACATCTTCCCTCCCCCATTTTTTTTTCTTTTTGCTCAACAACTTTTCCTGTGCGCCCCCTGCCCCTTTTTGCTCGACAAATTTTCTCCCTGGCTGTAGGGGTTCATTGAAATTCTTCTCCCTTTAAAAGGGTTGTGTGGCCAAATAAAATTGGGAAACACTGCTCTGGATACATTGCAGTGCTGATTCTGGTGCTGAGAGACGGGCTCAGACTGGTGGGGACCATATTGTGGTACAGACAGTGACAATCAGCAGTGGCTGCAGAACTTGCAAATGCAGAAGGCCACATTTCTGGAATGGTGCAAATGGCTTTCCCCTGCCCGGAGGCACCAGAATCCCTGAATGAGACCCTCTCTGAGCATGGAGGAACATGTGGCAGTAGTCCTATTGAAGCTTGCTGTGCCAGACAGCTATTGGTCAGTCGGGATGCAGTTCAGGGTGGGGAAATGTACATCAGGGCTGTTGTCATAGAAATAGACAATGCCATCAATAACATTCTGCTACAGTGGATTATGACTCTGGGAAATGTGGAGACCATAGTGGATGGCTTTTCTGGGAAGGGCTTCCCTTACTGTAGTGGTGCCATAGACGGAACACACGTCCCTATCTTGACCCCCGAATACTTTGCCAGAGTATAGGCAGTCCCCGGGTTACGCGGATCCGACTTATGTCGGATCCGCAGTTACAAACGAGGCCCGTCTCCCTGGTCTCCAGCAGACCAGGGAGAGGAAGCAAAGCGGCGGAGCACACGGGCAGCGGACAGCCCAGACGCGTCTGGGCTGTCCGCTGCCCGCGTGCTCCGCAGCTTTGCTCTACTTTGCTCCCCGTCCCCCTGGTCTGCAGACCAGGGGAACGGGGAGCAAAGCAGAGCAAAGCCGCGGAGCCCGAGGGCAGCGGACAGCCCAGACGCGTCTGGGCTGTCCGCTGCCCGCGTGCTCCGCAGCTTTGCTCTACTTTGCTCCCCGTCCCCCTGGTCTGCAGACCAGGGGAACGGGGAGCAAAGCAGAGCAAAGCCGCGGAGCCCGAGGGCAGCGGACAGCCCAGACGCGTCTGGGCTGTCCGCTGCCCGCGTGCTCCGCAGCTTTGCTCTACTTTGCTCCCCGTCCCCCTGGTCTGCAGACCAGGGGAACGGGGAGCAAAGCAGAGCAAAGCCGCGGAGCCCGAGGGCAGCGGACAGCCCAGACGCGTCTGGGCTGTCCGCTGCCCGCGTGCTCCGCAGCTTTGCTCTACTTTGCTCCCCGTCCCCCTGGTCTGCAGACCAGGGGAACGGGGAGCAAAGCAGAGCAAAGCCGCGGAGCCCGAGGGCAGCGGACAGCCCAGACGCGTCTGGGCTGTCCGCTGCCCGCGTGCTCCGCAGCTTTGCTCTACTTTGCTCCCCGTCCCCCTGGTCTGCAGACCAGGGGAACGGGGAGCAAAGCAGAGCAAAGCCGCGGAGCCCGAGGGCAGCGGACAGCCCAGACGCGTCTGGGCTGTCCGCTGCCCGCGTGCTCCGCAGCTTTGCTCTACTTTGCTCCCCGTCCCCCTGGTCTGCAGACCAGGGGAACGGGGAGCAAAGCAGAGCAAAGCCGCGGAGCCCGAGGGCAGCGGACAGCCCAGACGCGTCTGGGCTGTCCGCTGCCCGTGTGCTCCGCCGCTTTGCTTCCTCTCCCTGGTCTGCTGGAGACCAGGGAGACGGGCCTCGTTTGTAACTGCGGATCCGACATAAGTCGGATCCGCGTAACCCGGGGACTGCCTGTATATCAACCGCAAAGGGTACTTCTCCATGGTGCTGCAGGCGCTGGTAAATGTCAAGAGCCATTTCAGCAACATCAGTGTGGGATGCTTGAGAAAGGTGTGTGATGCATGCATCTTTTGGAACTCCTGACTCTTCTGGAAGATGTATGCTGGAACATTTTCCCTTGACTGGACAATCAGTGTTCGAGAGGTAGACGTGCTAATAGTGATTCTTGGTGACCCAGTCTCCCTCTTGCTCCTATGGCTCATGAAGTCCTATACGGGCAGCCTAGACCCCGGCAAGGAGGAGTTCAATAACAGGCTGGTGGTGGAATGTGCCTTTGGACATTTATAGGAGAGGTTCAGGAGTTCCTGACTCATCTGGACCTCAGTGAATACAACATTCCCTTTGTGGTGGTACGTGTTGTTTGCTCCATAACCCATGCAAGAGCAAGAGGGAAACTTATCTGGCAGGATGAGGCACTGAGACAGAGCAGCTAGCTAGAGCAGTGGTCCCCAATCTTTCGTGGCTGCCGTGCGCCCGGGGGTGGGGGCCACCCGGGGGCAGAGGCTGCCCATGTGCCCTGAGCCCAAGGCCGGCACCGCGCATGTGCCACGCGTCCGGGGCCAGCACCGCGCATGTGCTGCACGCCAGGGGTGGGGCCAGCCCAGATGTTTCGGTGGGTGCACATAAATGCTCCGGTGGGCGCCATGGCGCCTGCGGGCACCGCATTGGGGACCACTGAGCTAGAGAGTTTGAGCAGCTGGACACCAGCACAGTCAGTAGAGCAAAACAAGGGGAAATGTGAATCCAAGAGGCCTTCATGGACAGTTTTATGCAAAGCCTCTTTTAAGAGTCTACCATGTTGCTCTCCACAAGTTGCCCCTGCATTCCCTGTAGTTCCCTATAATCCTCCACCACACATCTGTGGTTCAACCAATGAAGAGACTGTTCAGTGAACATGAGTTTTTATTGGGGGGGAAAACAATAGGGAAGCGGAAGAACTGGGAACCGGAAGGGGGGGGGGAAGGGGAGGAGGGGAATTTGGGAACATGACTGGGACTGCCTTCTGCTTCCCAAGGGCCTGGAGGGTCCAACGACCCTAGAGTCTCCCCCTCCCCCCTATGTCCTGGGGATTTAGCAGCCCTTCGGGATTCTGAGGGTGGAAGCTACAGGATTGGTGGAGGAGGGACTGTGGGAGTGTCATCAGGATGGTCAGGGTTCTGGCCTCTTGAGGGCAAGACACCACATGCTCCATCACAGCGGTAAGGGAGGTGAACATAGTTTCATGATGTCTTGCTTGCTGCTCCCTGGTGGCTGTCTTGCAGAGCAGCAGCAAAATCCAGGCCTGGATCTCTGCCACAAAGGTGTGCATGTAGTCCATTTGCTCCTGGAACATGTCCTCCCTCGTGCTTTTGTGCCTGTGGATGTGAGCCAGACAGGCAGATGCTGGAAGAGGTAGAGGACACACTGAGCTGGGTGCTGTCCCAGCTGCAAAGAAATATTACAAGGGCAAACTTTATAGCAGATATATTGTGGTAAGCCTACCCCTAATTTGTTAGCCTACACCAAAAGTCTCTGTAAAGACAAAGGAGATGTGTTCTGTGCAAGGCCAAATGTTTGCTTTAAAGTGGGCACTTTACAGCAGGTGCTCAGACTTCTCAGGGAAGCACTGGGAAACACTAGTTCCGGAGGGAATTAGTCATGGAAAGGAGCCAGCCAGGGTTGGAGCCTAAAAGTGGGAGAGGGGTGCCAGTAGAGGGCGGCTTCCCACTGTGTCCGGCACATGCGGCTTCCCAGGACAGTACTACTTTCCCAGACAGGACAGGAGCTAAGGGGATAGGGTGGGTTGCCGCCGTGTCCAGGATATGCCAGGTCTGTCACACGTGGACTCTTAGGAAACACTGGTTTCTTTCCTGCCGGGGTGTGTGTGTGTGTGAGAAATGTATGTCTGGCACATGCAGCCTCCCGGGGAGAGTGCTAATAGGTTCTCCTCTTCCCTGCAGGTTGCCATGTGAGGTATCAATCTTCTCCAAATTATATCACATGATTGGGAGTGTATGCTGACTGAATGTGACCATAAAACTAGCCCTTATGCAGCAATGCTTTGTGGTTCCATGGTGATAGACCACTTACTCATGGCTTGACATGCTGGCCTCCCCCTGCAAACACATAAACAAGCTGTCCCAGGTTCCCTGCGCTGTATAGGCACAGACTATGTTGCACCTTACACCCAATTGCTTTAAATCGCTTGTAGTTAAACACATTTTTTGAACTCACTGGAAGTGCCTTCTCCAGGTTCAATGTTGGACTGGGAGACATCCGGGGGACAGGGAGGATGGGAATGAAGAACTCCATCATCATGAAGAACTCCTGGCTCTTGGGGATTGCCATCTGGCTACTATCCTCCTCCTCCTCCATCCCAGTGTATCTTGGCTGAACTCCATGATCACGCTGGGGACACTGGCTGGGCTACCTCCTAAATGGCATCCAGCTGGCCAGAGAAGTAGAACATGTGAGGGGCTGCACCACACCATTTGCTTTCCTCTTTTACCTTGTGGTAGAACTGGTGCAGCTCCTTGATCTTGACTTAGCACTGCTGAATGTCCCTGGAATAGCATTTAGCCCCATGCAGCTTGAGATCCTGCTGTACATCTCAGCATTCCTCCTGCTGGTTTGGAGCTCATTGAAGATCGCTTCATTTCCCCACACCTTGATGAAGTCCAAGACTTCCTGAACATTCTTCTGTGCCCCTGGGGACTGGAGCCCTTGGGAGCAGAAATTGTCGAAGTCATTGCACTGTTGTTGGGATTACTCGACACCATCTCCACATGTGCTGTAACACTGTCACGTGGGACAGGCCCTTCTACTGTTCCTGGGGCTTTCTGAGCTCAGTGGGAAAACAGCAGAAGTGCAAGTTCTGGCCAGAGCAGACGGAGTGGAAAGCTGTGGGAGACCTCCCAGGGGCCAATAGCGTTGAATTTCCAGCAACGCTGCATCTACATGAGCATAAATTTTGACAATGTAAGGTTGGGAATAGTGTTACTCCACGTGAAAAGCACTTCTGTTGTCCTTAAGATTGACGTGACAGCCTTGGTAGTGTGGAGGCATCACTTAAAAATCATTCTGATGCAGGTAAAGTCGATCTGAACCCCCTAGTGGAGACCAGGCCTTAGATCCTTTGTATCATTATCAACATCTTGTCATTTGAGGCATAATATTCACAAGACTGAAGGAGTGATTTGTCGGTTCTATAAGGTAAAAATCAAAGACCTCACCTTCACAAAATTCCTCACTTAAGTAATAAGTGTTTAAAATGAATGCTAAATGGATTGTTTAAATCTTTGGTTAAATATCTTTTAGTAGTGACTACAATATATTTAATATTTGAGTGCTGGAAACAGGAGTTTTCCTATGCTTATTGGGCCCAGAAGTTACAGTATGAAATCCTGACTACCTACGGTACAAATGAATATTTGTTTAAATTATGTTAACAGAATTGGTGAAGGAAGAGCATGCTGGAGTTTAGGAAATGCATACACAGCATTAGGAAATCATGACCAAGCTATGCACTTTGCAGAAAAGCACTTAGAAATTTCAAGAGAGGTATGACTTGCACATTCTTATGTCTTGGTTAGTAGCTTTTTCACTTGAATCTTTTTCTAATGTCGAATTCTTTTTGGTAGAAGCAAATTAAAAATCTGTATCAAAGTAGTATAATCTGGGAAAGTTTAGTTGATTGTATGTTTACAGTGGCTTCAGTAAATCTCTGCGAAGAGGAAATGTTGGGATGAAACATTGTGGCTTTGCATGTTTATGTCTAATGCATTAGTAAAAGGATTCAGAAACAGTTCTTTCTGTATGGAAATATCACGACTATAGTGCCATAGAAACACAAAGTAATTGTGTAATGTTCTTGGAAAGCAAAATGTACAACATTCTTAGATTTTTCTTAAATATTAACAAAAATTCTCAAAAAGAGCAACATATAAGTGGACACGTCTCCATTTACCGAAGGATTGATGCTCTGGCAATCGATCTTCCTGAGCTGGATTTAGAGGGTCTAGTGAAGATCTGCTAAATCAAACGTTGAAGGTGCCACCCATTGGCCGCAGTACTACTCATCATGAGGAGTAAAGGAAGTCACTGGGGGTGTTTCTCCCATAGACCTCCCGCTGTGGAGTCAGTGCCACGCTTGGCTTAACGTACTCGACCCCAGCTACATTATTTACATAGCTGAAGTTGCATACCGTAAGTCAACCTGCTGAGTATATGGTAGACCTGCCCTGATTCTTCTTTTTCTGTTTTCTGTCACCTTGTGAAATGCTGTTCACTTTCTCTGGTACACCAGTCAACTTTCCCTAGTTATTTACCAGATTTGAAGATGTTAAAAACTTTAAATCCATAAGAAATGTGTTCTCATTCTGCAATTGTTGACGCGGGTGATAGAGACCTGAGCCCACAATTGCAGAATGAGGTTAAAAAAAACACGTGCATGGTCTCTCTTTTTCTCGGTGTGTGTGATTTTGATTCATGCGATAGGTTCTCAGAGCATGCAAGAGATCACACAATTACATTTTAGAAATTTGAAGAATAGCTAATTAAATATATTCAAATGCACTTGATTTCAGGTAGGAGATAGAAGTGGAGAATTAACCGCTAGACTTAACTTATCAGATCTTCAAATGGTGCTTGGTCTAAGCTACAGCATAAACAACTCCATGATATCAGAAATCCATGCTGTAGATAACAGTTTGGATGGTAAGTGCTTCCTTCCAGCATATTTCTTAACTCAAGTAAAAGAAAAATGATTGCTCCTTTATTGTGTACAGAGGCTTTTACTTTTGTGTTTCTTACTCTTCTGCCCCATTATCCCCTTCACTTTCCCAAATCTGTTCTTTTTTTTTGATAAAGGGATCTTTTTATATTTCGAAGAGCTGCATCCTAGTATTGGGCAGTTCTTCAACACATGCTGTCCCTCTTCTCTCGTCACAGGAGGAATAGTCTAAATCTGAATGTTCCCCAATCAATTCATTTAAGGAGAGAAAAGAGGCTGATGTTCCAATACAGATCCTCCAAAAATGTATGTCCTCTAAGAAAGAGGAAAGATGAGGACCTGACTTTTTTCCAGATTAGAGGAAAAAATGCTTAAGCCAATCTCATGGAAAAAAAGTCATGTTTGTATGCATCTTGAAAGAGCTAGAAAAGATGCAAAGTTCAATTTTTGCTTTATAGTCTATTATTTATATTTTGTCCCTGTGGCTTTTTTAAAAAAATGAGGCCAAATATGTAACAGCTATTTTTTAAGGAATAATCTGAGATAAGACTGATTTTATGCAGCAGATAATAGGCTTTTCCCTGCCCCTTCTCTCCATAGCTTTTTTTCCTAGCATTTGGGAAATTGTGGGATCTTCTGATGTCACTTTTTCCTGAGCTCCATAATCAAACACTTTTCTCCCTTCCCTCATCCACATTTGTGTAGCTTCTTCAAAACTTAGCTGAAATCTGTGACTCTGTAGCGTAATTTCAGTTATATTTAGTGTCTGGGGTATTTTGATGCCAGAGCATAGCATTCCTGTATCAAATAATCTTACTGCAAGGAGACAGTCTATATTTGTATATACAGATTGAAGCTCTCTGAACTGGGACTCTGGTATAGTCTCAGTGGAGGACTGGTGGTTGGAGTCCTGTGGGCTGGCAGAGTAATGTGCTGCTGGTGGGGCTAAGAGCCCAGCATGCAGTTGTGGGGCTGCCCAGCATGGCTGGCAGGGCAGTGGCCCTGGTGGCAGAGGAGGAGCCAACAGGGAGAGGCAGAGGCAGGGGGGGCCAGAAATGACCTCTCCTCATCCAGCAAAATCCCTCATCTGGGACTGGTCAGGTGCTGAGGATATTGGACTTTGGAGGTTCAACCTGTTGTTTGGGTTTTAAGAAAATGAGTCTTAAATTCTAAAGTCCAAAACCAAGTGTTTTCAGCCTGGGTACTCTACAGATGTTTATTCCCTGCTGATTTTTTTAACTACATCATTTTGGAACTTAGAATGACAGTATCTTAGTTTGGATGGTATATACCACAATATAACTGAAATGTACAAAAACTTCCCTTTCATAGGCAACTAACTTATTTAGATTTATTTCATCCCTTCCCAAAGGTGCAAGACCCCGGGTAGGACGCCGTCACAGTATGGAAAACATGGAACTTATGAAATTAACACCTGAAAAGGTTGGCACTTGCTTTCTTTTCTTTCTGTTCTGTGTAGTAGAATTGCAGTAATGTTTCATAGCTGTCAGTGCTCCAGTGCTATGAAATGACTAACATGGGTCATTCCAAATAAATTCTTTATTCAAATGCAAGGAGCATAGGTTTTAGGCTAAGGTAACAGCTTTAAAATTGTCAGTAAAATCTTGATGAGTGAAAGGAAATGTCAAGAAGATATTAATCTTGAGAAGTCAGACACAAGTTCAATAACTAGCTTTGGCAAAGAGTATCCATGTTCAGAAACAATGGTAGCAAAGTTAATCGTAAGTAATAGTTTACTGGAGGATGTTTTTCTCAGGGATGTGGGAGGAAAGAATTTATTTTCTGTAGTACATGTCAGAAGTGTGTAGAACATAAGAACGGCCATACTAGGTCTGATCAAAGGTCCATCCAGCTCAGTATCCTGTCTGCCAACAGTGGCCATTGCCAAGTGTCCCAGAGGGAGTGAACTGAACAGGTAATAATCAAGCTATCTCTCTCCTGCCATCCCTCTCCACCCTCTCACAAACAGAGGATAGGGACACCATTCCTTACCCATCTTGGCTAATAGCCATTAATGGACTTAACCTCCATTATCGTATCTAGTTCTCTTTTAAACCCTGTTTTAGTCCTAGTCTTCACAACGTCCTCAGGCAAGGAGTTCCACAGGTTGACTGTGCTCTGTGAGAAGAACTTCCTTTTATTTGTTTAAAAACCTGCTGCCCCTTAATTTCATTTGGTGGCCCCTAGTTCTTATATTATGGGAACAAGTGAATAACTTTTCCTTATTAACTTTTTCCACACCACTCATGATTTTATATACCTCTATCATATCCCCCTTTAGTCTCCTCTTTTCCAAGCTGAAAAGTCCTAGTCTCTTTAATCTCTCCTCATATGGGACCCATTCCAAACCCCAAAAGTTGCCCTTCTCTGAACCTTTTCTAATGCCAGTATATCTTTTTTGAGGTGAGGAGACCACATCTGTATGCAATATTCAAGATGTGGGCGTACCATGGATTTATATAAGGGCAATAAGGTATTCTCCATCTTATTCTCTATCCCTTTTCTTAATGATTCCTAACATCCCGTTTGCTTTTTTGACTGCTGCAGCACACTGCATGGATGTCTTCAGAGACCTATCCACGATGACTCCAAGTTCTTTCTTTCATGGAGCTAGCATCTGAGTCCCCCTACACCATCTTCTATAACAGGGCTACTCAATTGTGGAAGTCCTGGAGGCCACAGTGATACTCACAGCATTCACTTAAGTGTGTTACATATATATGCAAATATATATGCAAATAGCTTTTTTCACACTGCGCTCCTGGCACCACCTCTCTGGGGGCTAGAAACACTGACTGCCTGTACCCTTCTGATCCCACCAGCCCATCTGCTTGCGTCTTTCAGTGCTCACTCAGCCTGGGAGATGCCTCACCATTGTGAAGTGTGTTCCCGGTGAATGCCATGTTCAAAGGATCCCACCTGTAGGCTGTGTGTTGAGCCCTGCATAAACCCAAACCGCCCCTGGGTCGCAAACAAACAGGCCACGTGTTGAGTAGCCCTATTCTATAAGGACAAGGTAGTCTCTCAGTTTTATATAAATCAGGACATATTCTTGCTTGTGTTATTTCCTAAATGGCATGCTAATGAGAGAACACATGCCTACATTCTCCCAGTGTTAGGCATCTCCTGGCCTCCTTCATCAAATGCGCAGTCATTCAGAAAATCTCCGCAGCTCTTTGTTGCTATTGCTGAGAGGAGGAAGGGACTTTCCATCTCTTCCTAGCGCATCTCATCTTGGGCCACGTTGTGTGTCAGAACGTACTATGACCTGATTAAGACTTGGGACCTGGCATTGATGGCACACTCTACAAAAACTCAGGCTTCATCGGCTGCATTTCTCAAGTGGTCCTTATTCAAGACACATGCAAGGCAGCAAAATGATCTTCCATCCATACTTTCACATCACATTATGCAATTACCCAACAGGCTAGAGATAATGCAACATTTGGCAGGGCAATATTGCAATCTGCAGTTTGGTTAACTCTGATCCCTCCTCCAAGGCTACTGGTTGGGTGTCACCTAATTGCATTACATGAGCAAAAACTCAAAAAAGGAAAAAGTGTTATTTACCTTCATCATAACTGTTGTTCTTTAAGACGTGCTGCTCATGTCTGTTTTTTAAATCCCACCCACTTCTCTGTCAGAATATCCCGACAAATGGAACTGTATACACTGCCATGAAAACACCACTCCAGAGGACTTCACAGCCAACCCGACGTGTGCCACTAAGGGGAAACCTTCTGACAATTGTTCATGAGTCATGCACTCCCCTAACTGGAATAAACATGAGCAGCATGTCTCAAACAACAGTTACGAAAGGAATAGGCAATAATTTTTGATGAAGGGGGCACTCCAAGATTTTGGGGGGTTGTCAAAGGGCTGCACTTTTTATGGAGGGTTGTGGGGTTTGAGACTAAAGTTGGGTGCAGAAGGGCTCTTTGGGTAGGGGTCTGGGATGCAGGAGAGGATGTGTGGTCTGAGGGAGTTTGGGTGAAGGAAGGGATTGTGATCTTGGGCAGGGGATTGGGGTGCAGGGTCCAGGGTCCAGGAAGGGGTCTGGGTGCAGGAGAGGATTTTGGCCCAGGGGAGGGATATAAGGGGGTGCAGGGCATGGGAGTTTTGACCTGAGGGAGGGTGGATTCAGAAAGTTGGAGTGGTGATCAGGAGAAAGAGAGGTTGGTGACCTAGGGCAGGGAGTTGGGATGTAGGAGGAGGTGAGCTGCCAGAGGCAGGCTCTATCTGGGAGGTGCTTACCTTGGCGGCTCCCGGCCAGCAGTCTTGCAGGACCCCAATGCAGGCTGCCTGTCTGCTTCCTGCAGCTCCAGGCTGCTCATAATGGCTGGCTGCTACCTGTGGCTTTTTGCTCTGGGGGCCAGAAATCAGCCAATAGGAACTGAGAAATTGGGCTGGGCCTCTGCTCTGGCGCAGAGTGTCCAGCCAGCCACTTAGTGGAGTGGGACTGCTGTGTGCCTGAGGATCTTGATAGTGCAGCTCACGAGCTGGACCTTATGGCTTGGTGGGCTGGATTCAGCCTGTGGGCATCTTGCCAATCTCTTGAGTAACAAGAAGGTAAGTAACAGGTTTTTCCAAAGTGCCTTTATAATATGCCAAAACTCCGTAACAAAGGACTCCCTTCAAAATATTACTTTTAGAAACTCAAGAAAAGTTTAGTTGAGGAATAAAACTCCAAAAGTCATAATGAGGCAAGGGGGGAAACCCAGTGTAGGAGCTTGCTCTTAGGAACTTAAGGTCTAAATCAGGATCTAAAAGACCTCAAGATATGGCTACAAATAAGGTGTTGGTGCCACGCAATAAGTGGCTTTTTCAGAACGAGAATATTTGTTTAGTCTTTATAAGCTTCTAGTGTAGCTGTACATAACTATGTCAAGAGGGCAAAATACTGGTACACTAATCTCTCAAATTGGAATTTGATTTATAGTATTAACTGAACTTACATCTCTGTTTTCAGAGCCATGCTGCTGTTGTTGTCAAGCATGTTTGCAACAAGGGAGAAGTCAGATTTTTAAATTCAGCATGCAGCTTCCGAATGAAATAACTCTTGAGTCTCCTGTTATAAACATTCAAAAGTCTTTTGGAGCAGTGGTTCCCAACCTTTTTAATATCCAGGACGGGCAAACCCATTCACAAACTTTCAGCGGATCAGCATAATTTTACTTGCGTATCTGCATATTTATTATGCAAATAATGAATAGTCAGATATGAAAATAAAATGTTACCTGTTCGCAATATAAAAAACCCTGGCCCCCAGAGCCAACCCTAACACCTAGAGCCCCTCACCCTTCCACTACCTCCCAGTTCTAGCCACTGACTCCAGAGTTCCCTGCACCCTACTCCCCTAGTGCCAGCCTCTTGTTTCCAGAGCCCTACTGCACCCAATACCCCCAGATTCTCTGTTGGCCCCACCATCCCCAATATTAGCCAGACCAGATACCCTGAGTCTTGAGTCCACCCAGATGCGTGCCCCATCGCAAGTTGGGGGCGTCTGTAAAAGTCAGGATGGGCGTGAAATGGAGCTCCGTAGCATGCAGGGAGAGGGTACAGCCACCAGTGAAGAACTTCTATCACTGACGGGGGTGGGACAGTTAACACACTGTCGAGATGGTGGCGAGACAGCTTGTACAGGCTAGCCAGTCTCATCTGCAGGAGATGGAGCTGAAGTCTGGCAAAAGGGATGACATAGGTGCAGTAAGCCATATGCCCCAATAACTAAAGCAAGTCCTGGCTGTCGTGACTAGGTAGGCCCCCAGACCCTGAATCAGTCTGCAGATGCTCTTGAAAAGGGCTGGGGGAGGGACACGCCGGCTGCCAGGGAGCTCAAACGTGCCCCTACACCGTACCAGGCTCCCAGATCCAGTGGAGGGATAATTGAAGCCAAAGATACCATATGGAATTTTAACTTCTTGAGGTATTTAGACTGCATAGATCTAATGGGATGTGGACCTGCCGTTGTCTTTTGGGATAAGGAAATAACAGGAATAGAAGCCTGTGCACCCTGAACTATAGAGAGATCTTCTCTACTGCTCCTACCTCCAGGAGTGTCTGCAGCTCCTGCTTGTGAGAGAGGTCCTTGAAAAGTCATGGGGCATTGGAATGAGAAGGTGAGGTAGATAGAAACTGAATGGAATATCCCATCTGTACTGTACCTAGAACACACCTGTCGGATGTGACTCGGGTCCAGACGTGGTAAAAATGAGACATAGGGGTAGGATCCAAGGGAGACTGGTACCTTGCCCTCAGGCTCATCTTCAAAAATTCTTGCTGGGACCTGGTGACTGCCTAGAAGATTGGGCCTAGTTATTAGCACTGCCACTCCCACTACTATTGATACTTGGGGGGAAATGGTGATTTCACTTACTATCCCATCTATTCTGCTCTTGCTTCTGATGTGGAGGATAGTATCGGGGGGAGGGAGGAAGGGGTTGGTGTGAAACTCCTCTGCTGTGTTACAGGTGTGCGAAGGTCCAAGGACTTTAACGTTCCCTTTGTGTCCTTCAAACTATGCAGCCTAGAATCCATTTGCTTCGCAGACAAGCCAGAGCCATCAAAAGGGAGGTCCTGTATTATATTTTGGATCTCTGGAGTCAAGAGTTCCCCTCATAACTATGCCTGTTGACATAGACTTGACTGCCATCGCATCCAGACCTGCCTAAAAGGAGGTTCGTGAAATTACCCTCCCTTCCTCTGAGGGCTGTGAGTTCAGACCTAGAGTCTGAAGGGAGGAGCACTTTAAATTTATCCATGGGCACCCATCTATTAAAATTGTAGTGGGCCAACACTGCCTGTTGATTAGCCATTCTCAACTGGAGGCAACTCAATGAGTACACTTTCCTTCCCAACACCCTCTTAGAGTCCTTGGACTTAGTAGTGGGGCCTTGGAGACCCTGGCATTCCTTAGTATTAGCTGCATCCACCATCAAGGTGCCAGGTTGTGAGTGTATATACAATTACTCTACCTCTTCAGAGGGGCAAAGTAGCACCACAACACTTTAGCAGTCAGGGGAATGGAAGCAGGAGGTTTTCATGGCAGAGGAGATGGTCTTCATAAATGGGAGAACAACCCTGGTTGTGGGCCCCTCCCCCCGCCCCCCCCAGACAGAATGTCCACCAGAGTATCTGTATCCTCTACTAGCTCCTCTATTTCCAGACCCATACTCTGGGCCATATGCCTCAATAGGTCTTGATGCGCCCTTTTGTCCATAGGGGGTAGTGATGTCGCCACCCCAGCTACTGTCTCATCAGGTGATGATGAGGATGAGGGGATCCTGCAGCTCCTCTTCTTCCTGTTCCACCTCCGATACCAGTACCGGAGTGCTGTGAAACAGGTGGCACTGGGTGCAGAGACATCCCTGGAACCCAATGCTGTTTGTCCTCCGTGGACTGGGGTGCTGGTGCATGTCCAGACTGTGTGTTCAATGCCAAACAACCCAGATATAGTTTGAAACAACTGTACCCCTTCAGTGGAGTCTTGACCTAGGGGGCTGAAGGAGTGTCCCTGCTAACCAAAGCAATGAAGACTGACCTGGATCCTCTTTCTTATGCCACATGAGACGACAGGAATACTAAGCTAGATGGATCATTGATCTGACTCAGTATGGCCATTCTTGTGTTTCTCATGTTAAGGGGTCTGATATTCTGAACGAAAGAAAAGTTTACTACAAGTTGTTACACTTAAAATCTTTCAATATTGCCAGTGAAATTTAGAAGTCTATTACTGTCTCTGAATGGAATATTCTTTCTCTGATTCACTGACAGTGAAATTATTTCCTATAGTGCAGGATCAATACTTCATGTTAGAATAGAGGACACTCTAGTCGTAGGTTAGGTGATGTAACCTAACAGTTAAATGTGGTTCATTCAGCTACGGAAAGAGATTCTTCATGAATGGGGAGGAGGAGTGAAACTAAACAGATAATAGGCAGCAGCATATGTTTCACATGACTCTTGTTTTCTTAGATTCAGAACTGGAACAGTGACATTCTTGCTAAACAAAAACCGATGGTTGCCAAACCTTCAGCAAAGCTACACTTTGTGAATCGACTAAAAGGCAAAAAGTACAAAAATGGCACATCCTCCAAAGTTCTGCAGGATGCTAGTAATTCCATTGATCATCGACTTCCAGGCTCTCAGAGGGTATGTTTGGAGAACTAAACAAGTTTAATTAGTGGCTTGGTGAACATTTCTAAATTACAAATGAGTGCTCATTTCTGGTGGTGTTAATTTCAGTCCTTGTTCACTTGCTTAGAAAAAAGTGATTGAAGTACAGAACTAGCTTTGTCACAAAATTAATAGATAGGTTCAGTTGCATATTAAATTTGGAAAGTAAAAAAAGTTAGAGAAAAGAATCTATTTGTGATAATGAGAAGTAGAGCAGCAATTGGAAGCAAATCTCTTGCTTATAGTGGTCAGCTTTATTTTCCTGGTGACTATTAACTCTGCCATATAATGCTCACATTTCAGTTGTTTTAAAAAAATCTTCCACAAACAGGCTTATTTTGTTGACTTCACCTGTCTTTGTAACATTTTTACAGATTAAATTGCCATGTTTTCTGCATTACAGTTCAATAGCAGATAGTCATAATCCAAAATTTTACTGATTTTCTTGCCTATCTTTTCAGAAAAATAGTCCTGATATGACTGGAGATGAAGGGTTCTTTGACTTGCTGAGTCGGTTTCAGAGCAACAGGATGGATGATCAGAGATGCTACTTCCAGGAGAAGAGCAGAATGACAGCTGCAGCAGCATCATCTACCCCACCTAAGACAATGAGAAAATGTACATTTTTTTTTTTGATTGCTTGATATAATCTACCCAAATCATGGGCTTCTATCTTAGGTTGATGTCAGTCTTTTAAACTGGTTTAACACACAAGATTTACTATTTCATGGCACATTTCCAGACTAATTTCTTTTGCTTTCTTCTTCCACTTTCAGCCTTTTCTACTTCCATGGTCTCACCACACACTGATGAATTTTTAGATCTACTTGCAAGCTCACAGAGCCGCCGCTTAGATGATCAACGAGCCAGCTTTAGCAATTTACCTGGGCTTCGTCTTAATCAGCACAACAGTCAGGCAGTCCTTGGCCACCTAATGGCTAGCAACAACAGAGAGTCAGATGATGACTTCTTTGATATCTTAATAAAATGTCAAGTAAGTCAATAAGAACAGTATGTGGAAAAATTCTGCTCAATTTCATGGGGTTGGAGATATGACAGCAGACTGAAGGTCAAAAGAACTTAGTGCTCATTTACTTTGCCCCCATGAGCCCTCCTTTATCTCACCTCAAAAATGGGGATGATGCCTGTATTTATAGAGGACTTTGATATATGAAAAGCACTCTGTAAAAGTACAAGGGGCTGTAATAGGTGCAGAATTAGAATTAATTGAGCTCTTCTTTGAGCGCTTGCTCATATAGGTGTGTGTGGCTGCCACATGCACCAGTGCCAGAAGTTTTTTTCCCCAGAGGTGCTGCAGTCCCCAGCGTCCCCTGGAGTGGCACACGCATGCCACACTGTAGAGCAGTGTTTCTCAGCCAGGGGTATGAGTACCCTTGGGTACTCATGAGAAATCTAGGGGGTATATCAACAACTGAAATTTGGAGAAAACTGAATTTGTTTTAAGTTTTACAGTGTTTTATTATTTTAGTACTTTTTACACCCAGAAATTTCATCGCCTGCCTGGCTACGATTATACAAATGTGTTGCAACAGTAGAAAAAAATGTTGTGTGTCTGAAAACTGTAGATATTAGAGGTACTTAATTTTTTTTAAGAGGGTACTATATTTAAAAAAAAAAAAAAAAAGATTGAGGAAACACTGCGGTAGATGATGCCCCCTGGCACCTCCCTCCTCAGTTCCTTTGCAGTGACAGGAATCTGGACTTTTAATACTCCTTTCACCTGAAGAAGTGAAAAAGCTCATGATACTGTGTTCATGTTTTGGTAGTCTTTAAGGTGCTGCTAGACTATTTGTTGTTTTTTAATTTTTTATTTGTAAATTGTCAGACTTCCAATTTCCTTTGGAGAGACTCTGCCTGGGGGCTGGGGGTGTGCCCTATGCTCCTGACTTCAAAGCCAGTGCAGCGTGGTGCATGCCCATGCCATGCTGCCTGCCTGCCTGCCTGGCCTGGGAAAAGGACACATCTCCGACAGTTGTTGCATTTGCAGATCCTTCTGTCCCAGAGCTATTAAAGAGCAAAGCATTCGTCTTAGAGCACTCTTAATGGAGTCTGCACTTGCCCCACATGAGCAGCAGTATTGTCTCTGCCTGGCTTCCTAGCAGGGGCCATGGGCGACAAGTCCCCTTGTAAGGATGGCAGGTCAGAAAAGCCCCAGAAGGCACCAAGCCTGGCATCTGGGTCCCCTTCATCAGTCCTGGAGGTCCATCTTCCCTTCACGCTGGAGGCCTTCCAGGCCATTCAGGACATAAGAACTATGCTGGTACTGCCCCCAAGGCTGATGGGGACCCAGCACAGGGTTAAACCTCTGTTCAGTCCCATATCTCCTGTGTCAGTCTGATCACACACTCTTCCAGCATCCGAGAGGAGAGGGCTCTGAAGTCCCCATAGGGCTGCACATGAGACTGGGTCACAACATGTAATCTCCTGCATCGCTGGAGTTAGGGTGCAGGCATACACTTCCCTCCCCCTCCCCAGCACCAGAGCTGTTGAAGGGGTAGTGATTCTGCCTACTTGCTGGACCTACATCTCCACAGCACCAGTCACTATTCACCATGTCACAGATACCCACCGGCACTGAGCCTTTCCAGACGCAGAGGCGTGTCCTGCTTCTCCCAGTCTCCATCCTGGCACTGTGGAGCTTTTCTCTGGGCCTACATCTCCACAACACCAGTCACTATTCACCATGCCACAGATACCCACCAGCACTGAGCCTTTCCAGACGCAGAGGCGTGTCCTGCTTCTCCCAGTCTCCATCCTGGCACTGTGGAGCTTTTCTCTGGCACCATTCTCTGGATTTGAGTGGTTGCTCTTCAGGGCGTCGTCATTCCTGCAGACACTCCAGACGTTCCTGATCCCCAAAGTCAGTGGCGGAGTCCTGGCATCAGAAGAGCCACTGTTCCCCCTTCTTGTCATGGGCATCGGTGAACATCCGCTCCTGAACTGCAGCTTCAGAGGCAGCCTCCATCTCTTCAGTGCAACCCTTGGTGCCATTGATATTGGCACTGTCCTGAACTGCAGCTTCAGCAGCAGCCTCCATCTCTTCGGTGCAACCCTTGGTGCCATTGATATTGGCACTGCCAATGCTGTCCCAGGGCAAACCATAGCCACTGTCTCAGTGGCAGGCACAGTGGTGCCCATGAACTCCCTGGGCCTTCCCAGTACAGCCCCAGCTTACCTGCTCAGTTTAAAGTGTCTCAGGCCCCTTCAGTGCCACCAGGGTTTCATGGGCCTCAAGGGGACACCAGCCCTGCCCCCAGATGGCTGGGGCAATGGCCAGCCCCTGCCTCATGAAGAGGGCCAACCAGCCCTGGCCTCTTCCTCTTTGTCAGTGGATGAGGTGACTGTGGCTTCTCCCCACCAGTGCTCCAGGAGGACTTGAGAGCCCACCAGGACCTCCTGAGGAGAGGAACGTGGCTAACAGCTTAGGCCTTCAGGTTGAGGAGGTGCAGGAGACTGTAGACTCACTTTGTTCAGGGCCCTGGATCAGGACCTGCAGGGTGGCCTTTCCCCTGCATGAGGTAGTTGCCGAGATTGCCAAGACGACATGGCAGACCCCCGTCTTACATCCCACCTATAGACAAGAGGGCTACTTTGTCCTTTTGGGAAATCATGACTATCTTTACACTTAGTCACAGCCCAACTCCTTTCTGGTGGAAATAGTTAACCACAGGGAGCAGCAGGACCAGCCTTCCCCCTCCCCAAGAATAAAGACTCCAAGGCTATGTCTAGATTGGCATGATTTTCCGCAAATGCTTTTAACGGAAAAGCTTTTCCGTTAAAAGCATTTGCGGAAAAGATTGGCTCGGATGCTTTTGCCCTGTCCCCTAGCCCAGATTGACCTGGAGGAGGGGGGAGCGTGCCAAGAACTTCTTCCAGGGCATGGGTGCCTAGTAGGAAGGGGGGGCAAAGGGGCTTCCCCCACTCCTAGACCAATCATGGTCTGGGGATGGGGTAGCCCTATCCCTTCCTGTTAAGGCCTCACCCCTTCCGGTAGCCCCCCGGCAAAAATTATTGCCCATCCCTGGTCTAAAGGACTCCCATATGACCTTTTAAACCCTAGGTCTCTACATCCTGGGCTCTGAGAGGGAAAAGCTTAAGCCCCAGTTCTCTTAACAAAAGGGTCAGTATCCCTGTCAGGAGAGAGCCCCTTCACACCTGAAGCCCTCCAAGTTGAGACAGGGCTGCCATCATCTGTTTGGCCAACGGCCAGCTAGGTGAAACCCCAGGGTGCATCCAGGGACAACACATTGGACTTCCAAGTTCCTGCCCATCTGTTTTCCTTCGGGCTCTGTCCTTTTCCTCCCAGCATAGAGGGACATTGGGTCTTAGCCACTGTCCAGCGTGGCTACACTCTCCAGCTCTCCTCCATACACATGCTCCCTCATTCTTTATGGACCCTTCTTACTAGCAGCTTCTCAAACAGAATCTATCTCAGTTGCTCCAGGTGCCAGAGAACAAAGGTTTGAGAACTCCTCCTGCTACTTTTTGATCCCCAAGGTGAAAGGGGGCCTCAAGCGGGGCTCTCTCTTCTGGATGTGTTCCTGTATAGGTGGTCAGAAGATCTCCACTATGCCTTCCCTCCATTTCCCCTCATCGACAAGGACCTGCAAAAGATCAAGAGGGAGAAGGAACTGGTGATCTTTATCGCACCAGCATGGCCTCGCCAGCTTTGGCTTAGGGCACTGATGACTGGTGTCCCGTATGCTCAGGAGGCTGCCGCTGAGACTACACTTACTCTCCCAGGACCAGGAGCACTTGCTCCACCTAAACCTCAGCTCATTCCACCTGATGGCATGGTTCATCTGTGGTTGAACCCCCAGGAGTTATCAGCATGTTCGGGTAACGTTCGGCGGGTTCTCAACAGTCAAAAGCCCTCAATGCACTCTATGCTGCCAGTTGGGCTCATTTCTCCAGATGGGCGCAGCAGTGGTAGGTTGTCTCAGCCAAAGCTTCCCTTCAGGAAATTCAGGATTACTGGCTGCACCTGAAGTGACAAGGCCTTGCTCTGGCCACCATTAGAGTCCACCTGACGGCCATTTCCGCATTTCATCTGCCCATGCAAGGTCATTTGGTATTGTCCCATGGTATCACCTGCCAGTTCCTGAGAGGCCTGGAATGCCTCTACTTTCAGGTCAGAGATCCTCTCCTGTAGAGGGACCTGAACCTGATCCTGGCACAGCTCACGGGCCCTCCATTCGAGCCCCTGGCCACATGTCTCTTGTCGCTGCTCTCCTTCAAGGATGCCTTCCTGATCGCCATTACTTCAGCTAGGCAGGAGTTGGAGCTCGGAGCACTGACATCGGAACCACCATATACCTGGTTCTTCAAGAATAAGATCCAACTGTGGCCTCATACAGCCTCTCCCCCCCAAGGTGCTTTCCATCTTCCTATGTGGACGAGGACATTTTTCTGCTGATCTTCTACCCCAAGATTCATGCGAACAATGAGGAGAGGTGCCTTCACACTCTGGATGTGCATTAGGCACTGGCCTTTTACCTGGAGAGGACACGTGCCTTTTGCAGCTACACATAGCTGTCCTTTGCCGAGGCGGAGTTTGGGCAGGGTTCCCCAATTTCCTCCTAGCAATTGTTGAAATGAATCACTTCCTGCATCTACACATGCTGGCAGGGGCCCAGCCACTGGAGTTGATTAGGGCCGATTGTACCAGGGCTCATGCTTTCTTGCATGGTTACCTTGCACATGTTGATCTAGGACATATGTTGGATGGCAACGTGGTTGTCGGCACATCTGTTCTGAGAACCGGGAGGCAGTTCAGCCGGAAC